CCTCCATGTATGAAGAAAAAAAAATATATTTCAGTATGCAAGTTCGCACGCTCGATTGACGCCTCAATTAGATATAGACACGAGTTCCGACATCAGCCTCGAAAGTCCCTCTTTCACTCACTCTCAAAGGGATCGATGACCGAGACCGTTAATGCACCGCGGTTCGGAGCATGCCCGGAACCCGATCAGAGCACGCACTGCAGAAATCAACGATCTTGTACTAACCCCCCCCCCCCCCCCCCCCCCGGGCCAATCTTGTAGGCGTTACCTAAAAAAAAGTAACGAAATAAGTTAGTCGTTACTCGCAGAATTAAGGGGCGCGTTATCGACCTACGTTTTCTCAAAAAGAGGAACGCAATAACGTTGCCGTCACTGATAAAGAGTAACGCACGTTAATTTTGCGTTACTTTCTATTTATAAGTTGACTGTAACAGCGTTTTTTTTTTTTTTTTTGGCAACAGCCTTTTTCGACACTGGGACAAAGGGCGTGAGCGTTAGTTTTTTTGTTTTTTTTTAGTGCGCCTTTTTGTGTAGGGAAAAAAACAGACAGAACTTTGAAGGTACGTGGACTTACTGCAATGTTCAGTGATTTGGCGCCTATAATTCCTTCCAGCTTAAGTCCAGACGCGGCCGACACTACGAGCTAATGGAACGAAAGAAGCATTGTCCAAAGAGTAAGTCACTGGTTCTTTTCTCGTTTATGACTGGTTCATTGATGTTAGAACACGTACAAAAACGTGACGAACACCATGATGGTTCTTTTTAACGCTGTCTAATTGGCACTATCAGCTCGTAGCGTCGACTGCGTGTGCACTTAACACGCAGTCGTAACGAGCAACGTAACTATGTTATCCGTCACTTGAAATATGCAACGTAAGTACGTCACCCGTTAGTCTCTTAAAACGTAACGAGTGCGTTACTACGTTACAGAAAAAAACGTAACACGTTACCGGTAACGCGGTTACCTGTAACGGGCTACCGCCAACACTGACCCTATCCCTACCAGTGCAATAATATGAACCGGTATTGTAACAGCGTATAGTCCTTTTAAAGCGCCCAGGATCGCGGACGAACAGCACTCATTAAGTAGTCTCTTCAGCGGAAACACGGCTATCCATTTCCAGACAGATTAGCGATTCCCGCTGTCTAAAGTGGAATAAAATTAATTTAAACGCAAATCTTTTCCAAGTGAGTTGAAAGGTGGGGGCGAGCCTAGGGAAAGAATCACGCTAATTGCGGTTGTCGACCGAACTACATGGTCTTGCGGCGTTAGTGAGATTGAGTTCTCAAATTTTATTTGAGACAGGGTAAGAAAAAAGGTAGTGCTCAATCACTCGCAAACCTATAAAACGGCAAATGTAAAAAAATAAAGAAAACATTGGAAATATTACCAAATTCAGATAAAGTACATGAGTGGCTAATCATCACAATTTTCACGACAAAAAAAAAAAAATGGCGAGTACCGAAAAGTTAGTATTTTCGTTGAGCATAACAAAAAAAAAAAAAAGCAATCGCATTTCCCGTTAAAAAAAAAAAATTGGGTGATTATTACTTAGCCACAAAGCACCTGCGTATAAACACGCATAAAAAAAAGTTAGGCAGAGAGCGCTAGAAAGTTGCTCCGTTGAATGGCAGAACCAGAATCCAGAAAGACGATTGAGGGCATTGAGGGCACGGGTGAGCCGGTGAATATAAGGCACCTTAATAAAAGAGCAGTGACACCGACACAAAAAAGTTGTGTACTACGTCCTTTTGGTTGTGGTCGCCCTTCATTTAATTTACGATAACAAAAGAGGGACATTGAAGAAAAAAGAAAACATAGGTTTCCGGTTTTCAAAACAACGTTTATTTGAATGTCGGAAGCCGGTGTTGTCTGTTTGTCTTGAATGTGCCTCTTTCGTTATCGTAACTTAGAAACCAACATGCTCAACCATCTACATCATCAGTTTTGTTACCGTGTTTCCGGTTTCATTATGTTGCCTAATCTCATCTTTCAATTTTTTTTCAGTTGCGCGGAAAAAAAAAACGCAGTGCGTGGTGAGTTTTACATGTCAATGAGATTAAGACAATAGCCGATAAGAGCGTCAAAGGCAGAGTCACAAAGAAAGAAGAGTGAGTATTTCTTGTACTCTGTCTGTGAATACATTCTGTTTCACCTTTAGTCCGACCACAGCCAACACTGCAGCCCGATATAGTCAATCGAATGGCGCAAAGGGTGCATCGTAACGGCGCCCGACATCCTTGCGCGTTCGCTAAACTAATCACGTGATTCAGCCGGTGACAAAGACGACGAGTGCCATGACGATGCACCTATTGGCGCATCCTTATTGAATCCACCGAGTGGTGCGCATTGACTGCGGGTCAGACAGGATGTAACACGGTGGATATACGGCCAGCAAGTGTTCCAAAATGCGTCTTTGGAGCATCGGAAAGCAAGGAGGGGCACGCCAATCAAAGGACAACATAGGTAACACGTAGGCAACGGGATAGAGGGGCGCAGAGCGATAAACGGGCATCCCAGTTCACCAGGCCAAACTGACCCTCATTTGGCTGCCGCCATGTTGTACAATCTGGACCACTAGACACGTGACCGTTCCAAATCCTGAGGCTTGGACGCAAAACTGAGCCGAGATTTGTATTGCGATTGCTGTAAAATCATTATAAACTATTTTTTTTTTTCAATACGGTTAGCCCCAGAGATCAGTGTCTCGCTCCGATGAAAACACAAAATACAGCATCGCGGCTGACGGCATCTAGCGGAGCAATTGCGAAGCTGTTTGAGTTTTAGGGGCGAAGCTCCTTAGGGTCTTGTCCGTCCGTCCGGCCTTGTCCGTGCTCACATAAAAATTTAAAAAGTAATTCAAGAGCTGGGGTTTCTGTCATGGATGAAACGTTGCATGTAGCCGCTCAACGTCTATACAGGAGAGGGCGCTGCGGTCAAATGCGTATATAATCGCGTTAAATATTGCATGCATTGGCTCAACGTTTATAGACGAGAGGGCGCGGCGGTAAAATTCTCAAATGCGTATATAACCACGTTCCATACCACACATCCTCTTTCTGCCACGAACCGTTGACTTAAGTGGTGGAGATGCATTCGCGCGGCTTCTTGCGCATCCAAGCTGATCCGCTAGAAGAACCACTGGCTCTGCGTTTCACCGAACATAAAGCAGTAATAATGAAGTCGAAACGCAACCCGGAACAAGCACTACCTATGAGCAATAAAAAAAATCAGCACAATCAGCACTACCTACGAACAATAAAGTCAGTATCATCAGCACCACCAGAGCTTCGCCCCAATCAACATCATTCATCACGTGGAGATGCGGTAAATTTTTTTTTTATCGTAAAAGCCTAGTTTGGACTTAAAACAAAGGAAACATAACTTATATCGTCGGTAGTGTTATTAAAGATCAATAGGCAAATATCTGTGCGCGGTACTTCGTTACAATCTAGACGTAAAACATAAGGTCACGTGTCTAGTGGTCAAAAATCTGCAACACGGCGGCCGCCAATTGGGGGTCATTTTAAGCTGCCAGTTTATCTCTCTAAAGCCCTCTACCTCGTTGCACGTAGGGAACGAACAATTACGAGGCAACACAGCGCGAGCGCCGTCGTTGGTTGAGGTAGGGGAAAAATAAAGGTACGTGAAACGGATTTGGGGGTAAACAAAAGCACAAGGTGCGCAAGAAGCATACGAACGTGCACGCCGTATACACCAACACGCGGCGCTGACGTCGGGCCGCTACGGTAGGGAGGCTCTAGTTAGGGTGGGCGCAACTGCTAGAGCGGGGATTTGCAATTCCCGGAGCCAGAAGGAAGCGAGAAAGGCTGCGCCAAGGTGTTCGTTGCTTGTAATGGGAGGCGAGAGGAGGAAAGGCACGTGGAGCAACAGAGCCGGCGCCTGCTCTCGTGGGTACCGCAGTGTCGGCGAGAACGCATGAGTGACCAGTTTAGCTGAGAACGCGCAGGCAGTGCAGGCAGCATTAGCGCATATCCTTTCCATTCCTCTCCCTCATGCGCCGCCATTACATTGCAAACGCTCTCTAGGATTTGAGTTGCGCCCACTCTAACTAGAGCCTTCCCACGCTGCGGTGGCGCTGCTATTAGGCAGAGCGCATGCGCAGAGACGCTCCACTTGACACGATTCCTGTACACGCGCAATGCGCACGCCTCGTGCGGAAACTGCGCGTTTGCCGATACCACGTGCGAACTTGTTTGAAAACCGCGCGTGGGCCTGTAGAATTACTCGATCCGCACCACGAATGCTGTGCTAAGAACCACATCCTTCGTGATGCATTGTTGTTTTCAAGTGTCGCGATGTGTGTGTACTTCGCATTGTCTGAGATCACTCAAAGTGAAATTCTTTGTTTTCTGCGATATATTGAGTATGCTTCCCGTCAAAAAATAAAAATAAAATTGTCGACTGTCTTTTCTTTTTATGCGTGCAACCGTTTGTGTATGTTCTTTTGGTTTTTTTGTACGTTAATATTTATACTTCAAACATTGTACTTTTATATGCAAAAAACAATATATCAGGTAGCAACTACGCTGGGGATTATTTCACATGTGAATTTTACTCTAGGCGAACGTTTCTCCGTGTTTGTGTCCTCTCTTAGAAAACCAGTCTCGCGTGAAATAAACATGTTTTGCCATTCAACAGTTATGCGTTATGACTATAAAGTACAGCGTATCTTTCGTGTGTATGCTCTCTTCTTACTCTAATGCCCCTTGGGGCGATGCGGGTATGCTGGTACTCTAAGGGACGAAAAGTTTCTCCGTGTTTGTGTCCTCTCTTAGAAAACCAGTCTCGCGTAAAATAAACATGTTTTGTCATTGAACAGTTGCGTGCTATGACTATAAAGTACAGCGTATCTTTCGTGTGTGTTCTTTCCTTACTCTAATTCCCCTTGGGGCGACGTTGGTATGCTAATAAACAAAACAAAAATGCAGTGGACAAAAAGTGCCCAACCAGAAATGAACGCAGAAAGGGTTCTCACTTGAGATCGTGTAGAAGGTGCAGATGTATGTGGTGATGAGCGTCACTAGGGGCAGCAGGAACATGAGGACGAGGCTGACGGTGGTGTACAGCTGTTCCTGCCACTGGGCAGAGTAGAAGCCGTACGTCACGCACTGGTAGAACTCCTCCTCGAAGGGACCCCGCTGCACCCGAAAGATGAACACCTGCCGAAAAACAAGGTAAAATCTGTATTAGAACTGAGAAGGCCGTTCATAAAAGTGGTAGGGGTGTGCAAATACTTGGTCGTACCGAATTAGCACAGTGAAGGTTATGAATGGCGCAGTACTCTTTGATTTGAACCACTGTTCGTGAACCCCTCTAAAGTGGCACGTGTGCATCCTCTTTGTTGAGATGGGACTTATGAGACGTCAAAACACTTATTAACGAGTAAATCATCTTAGGTAGGAATAGGCGCGAAACATTAGTCTCAAGATATGTACCCGTTACGATCTAGATTTCTAAAAGCTTCACGCTGACCTTCAGACGCTGCACCTCGCGAAATGAAATGCGCACAAATATTACAATCAGTGCAGTAGAAAAAATACGCACCCCAAAGGCACCCCACTTTAGGTAATACTAAGCCTGTTATTGAGAGCGCCAAAGGCTATAAGCACAACGGCTAGATACCGGTGGGAAAGCCGTAAGCTGGATAAATCACACTGCAAATTAATGGTTAACTGAAATTCAGATTGAAATGTTGGCAATGCAGCATTAAGCACGCATAACTATGCCACTGTTTATCGCAAATACAAAAAAAGTCCATTTACCTGCAACGTAAGGTTACGAAATTGACCGATATTTTTTTGTCCTGTATGCCACCGATTACGGAGACAGGATATCTCTCTGGCCCGACAGGACAATGATAGGGCCAGAGGTCTCGGTATTAGTCAAGACGTTTTAACCATCACTCAACACGTCTTCATTGTGTCTTCTTCTTCATTGTGGATATAAGAGAGCGAATGCCGAATATGTGTTGACATGGTAGTTGTGGAAAGATAAGCACCGGGTGATATTTTTTTTATATTTATGTACAAAAAAATGTAAATTAAAGTTATGTTCCCCGGAAGGAGCATCCAGCTATATTTTAATACCATGGCTATTGATCTCCTGAATATATAAAATTGCTCGAGGCGTGGACATTACCAAGGCCTCCCTATGGCACTGTGCACAACAGTAAATTTTACACGGAAAAATGGACGTATAGTGACTTTTTTTAGTTTATTTTACATAAGGTTTACAACATGTACACAAAGTCTCAAAACCTTGACTACACAATTTTAGTGCTAAAAAAGGTTCCTAAAACATAGGTAAACATGTTTTAGAAACACGTTCCGAAATTATTTACCAACTATGCTTCGCCTAAAACTGTGAGAAATATATATGTGCATGTATAAATGGATTTTAGGAATATATAAAGTAATGCTTAGCTATTATTCTAGGATTGTAATTATTGCAGAAACATAACTGACGTCTCTAAAAGGGGCAAAATTGCGCGTTCATAATAAAAAAACAAAACGAAAAAAAAAAAAACATTATAATTTTCACTTTTGTGCGCTCCTCAACTGTTTGCTAGGACTTGAACTAACTTGTAATGGCAAAACATTGAGTAACATATGACAGCCTCTCAGAGTCGCTGGTCCTGTGATGCGTCCCGATAGGAAGCCAAAGATCTTCAGAACGCATTGAAATTTAGTGGTTTTCTGTCTCTTCTTTTTAACACCATAAAATGTAGCCCGTGCTTCATTTTTCTGTAAAGTGCACTGGTTTGATGGTTTTGGACGATGCACAAAAATGGTCTAATGGAAAGCATGCCATAAGATATAGTAATTTAAAAGTTATTTCTAAAAGTTCATTATCAACCTAATTATACCGGAGGATATGCCTTTTCCTAAATGAGCCCTTCGGCAAAGACCAATACGACCTTTATTTTTGTGCAATGCGCACGTTCCGCAGGAACGACATTTGGACCACGTTTCGTGAAACACCCTGTTGTTAGTATTTTCCCAAATTGTAGATAACATAAACAAATAAGAAAAAAAAAAACAAGGCGTGAACACTGCCACTATTGTTCTCTCCACATCGTCAATTTCACAATGAACGATGCGATAGTATTATGGCGCACCTGTTAGGAGCCCGTTTACAGCTTGAGCCAAGTCGTCGTCGGCGTCACCGTCACCGTCGGCGTAACGCACGTTGCATTATAAGAAACATACCATAATGCACCGCGCCGAAGCGTCGCGAGTCACCGGGCCGAAAGTTCACCGTGACGAAACGCCACCGTGACGTTTCGGTAGAAGTCACGTGCCGAAACGTCCCATGATGTTTCGGCACATCTCCGATACGTCGCGTGACGATGCGCGTTTCGCGCGTCAAAGGAGGAGGAGTGGGTACGTATGAAAAGGAGGGGGCATACCCTCCTCTCAGTACCCTCCCCTCCTCAAGAGCTGCGCTCTAAATCGGCGTTACAGGAAGCTGTAAACGTCTTTCCTTTTTTTTTACGTATTTTACAAAAGGGTTACAGCGCGTACATACACGGTGGAGCCCGCCGACAATCGGGAGGTGACGCAGAGAAGCACTAAAATAAAACTACGCTAGGCACTGCATTACCTTTTACACTGCGATGGAGCAGCGCCGCTGTAGAGCCTCTTTCTGTTCTAGGAAATATATCTTTGGAGTCGACGCCGTGTGGTAAAGCCTATATAACCGAGACAAGCTTGCTCAAATTGAGTGAAGCTTTGTTGTCACATTTCTCTCGAGGAGGTAAGATGTTACTCAATATTTTGCCATCACAAGTTAGTTGAAGTCTCCGCATACTGTTAAAAGAAGCTAAAAAGAATAAAAGGTGTTCTTTTTCTTTTCTTTTAAAATATTAACTTTACATTTAAAGTAAGCAACTGCGCTTCTTCTTTAATAACAAATCTGCAATAAAGGCTAGCTTATATTTTATATAAATTAATGATGCTGGTTTTGATACATTTTGCGGCGCTCATAAAAAGCTGTTGGTCAGTGAATAAGTTGTGAATGTTTCTCTAAACCGTGTTTATATGACGTGTGTCGCAGATGTTTGTTTTACATAAACATACCTTATTGCATTCCTTAATATTTTGTTTACAATGTGCAAATATTTTAAAAACAAAAATAAAAGAAAAATATTACAAGGTGCATATCACGTCATAAAATTGACTGCTGTGCAAAATACTAAAGCGTTCTCCCGGAGATAAGAAAAAAAAAGTTTTTTCTTCGGGAGAAAATGAGTTAAGGCGTTCAGATATGGCTGAATGCTCGCCTAAAAAAAAACAAGGGTCAAAAGGGTTTGAACTCTTTCATCCTTTTTAAGAGAAGTATCGGCAGAACAATTTTCTGCGAGTCATAAATGGGAAAGTATTCGAAGAGTTAGTAGTTGCTCGTTGCTGAAATCAAGGGAAATGGCAGGGGTTGGGCGGTGGAGTCCAGTACTGGCAAGGAAACATGTATAAAAATATTCGACGTTCCATAAAGAAACTATAATCCAGTCTCTCATTCATTTTATAGAAAATGAACAGCGGTCTTGCGTCTATGCGATCCAATGCCACAAACGCAAAAACAAGAAAAGACATTAAAAAAAAAACGTTTAAGCGACAAAAGCCGTTTTTGGCTGCCCGATCAATCTTCACCAGCAGAACATGTTCACAAAGATGTTCTTTTGCAACTTGTTTGAGTCTCTCAACCATACAAAACGTGTGTGTATAATGCTTGAGAGTGTGTTTGTTATATATATATACTTATAGTGCGACGAAACCATAATAATGTTCAGTGTGCGCTTCCGGGTTTACCAAAAAAACGAGACGATAGCCGAAAATGCTTTGAGTGCATCACTTATAAAAAAAAAACGTCAATTAAAAGGCATAGAAAACTCTTACCGCCTGCATATTTTAGTATTCATATTGAACCTTTGCGCCAAGCGAGATAGTGTTTTGATGCGCCAAAGATACCTTTACTGCACAGTAGGTGTGGACTGTCCATCAAAAGCACTTTTATTTTCAGCCCAAATTTGCTGCATGGCGGAAAACGCTGCAATTATTTTCTTGATGTTTTACATCGGCTTCCTTGTCACGCAAGAAACGCAAGATCAAAATAGGAAACACAGACATATCTGTACAAAACTTCCCCGAAACGAGAAGACTCATGTCTCTCGTTCAAAAAAAGAAAAAGGTGTACTTTTTTTTTAATGCAGCTTGGTTTACTAAGCACCACTCGATAAACCTGTCTGCTCCATGATTTATTTCCAGCGTTTCCCTCTGCTATTTTTCACCCTCCTCTCGCCTACGGATTACGGGAAGAAGTAGTGTTGCTTTCCTGCGCTGGTAAAATCACGACTACGGCTCGTAGTCTGCGTTTCTGAGCGGTACCATCCAGGCTCTTGCTTTTTGTTGTTTTTCTCGGAGGGGGGGGGGGGGGGGGGGAAGAAGAGACGAGGGGATAAAGCTCGGTTCAAACATTTGCGTCGAGCGCGACGATCTGCGTTCCTCTACAACACATTGCGCGGCTTTGGTTGCCATCGTAACACGCGTAGGAGCGTCTCGTCCTGAGGGGACGTACAATGTGACGACGCAGTCAGTCGTACTCAGAACTCAAATGTCTGAACCAGGCTTAAAAGGGGGAGAAATAAAGAGAAAAGAGAAGCCATCGCGTGTCTTCGATGAAGTTAAACAAAAATAAAAAAATACTGTTAGCACTGTCCGGCAAGTATATTTCGATTCAAAGTAAGGAAAAGAACGCAAGGATCACCGATATCCTAAACGTTTATCGATCGACTCGTGTTATAAAACAAGAAACAACGCGATTTGCTGTCTAAGGTTCAAAACATCAGCTCACGTTTGGTTTGAAATCCTATGCGTTGAACCTTTCGGTCTCCTCTTGTATATTTCAACCCTTGCGTTACGTCCGTTGTTATACAGGTACTTGAATGGCTTGGGCAGCAAGAGATCGTTTGACACAAAGGGGGGGGGGGGGGGGGGGGGCATCGTATACTGTCTGTGAGATCGGGTGCTTTTGACTAACATGCAGTTTCTACAAATATCTAGACAAAAATCAATTCGGTTAGCAAAGTCAAACATTATTTTTTTATGTTTGAGAAGGAAGGCACTGACAAGATTAACGAATACTAGAAGTCACTAGTCAACGT